TAAATGCAAACGTTGATGGAGAGTCAACAGACCCCGGAATGATCAAGCTCAAGGGAATTTTGGCTTTTGGAACCCGCCCGTATCCTTGAATTGAACTGTGATTAAATTGTTATTGTACTATGCGGTATTTATTTGGTTATCTTATGCCCTTATTTGACATGTGCCTACTTGTTTTATTTGGAACCTCACTGAGATTTAGCTCACCCCACTAATGGTCGAGAGCTTTCTTAGCTTTATTTTACTTTGAACTTGTAACCTTTTGTTTAAGAAGACTTTACTTTTGACTTTTGTAAGTTTGAATGCATAAGTTCGACTTATATTATGTAAATTAAGTGTGGAGTGGTAAGTGTGACTTTTAGCTTGACATTTTAAGTTTGAAAAATTGGCTTGACGATTGTATGCCATTAAGGTTTGTACACTTTGATTTGAAGTTATTCCACTGGTTATCTTGAGTTGCTAGTTCTTTGATCGACCGAGCCCTGACGAGAGTTGGGCAGGCAGTCCGCTGATTCCATAGGGTTCGCCCTAGGGAGAGGTGGGGCTGTCACATAGGATTGTTTAGTTTTAGATAGTTTATCCTTTCTTGCATGTTAGTTACATGAAAATGAAGATGGAGATGAAGAAGGCAAGGAAAGAGCCCATGTGACAAGGGTTACTTTACCTTTCCAACTCTTTATCTTTTGTATTGGATTCTAAGTTTAGTTAATATACAAGTTTTGGATTTTATGTTTATTATGTGTCTTTAAAAGTTTATGCCTTTGGTTTGGTTGAATTTTCTATGATTGTTAATGTTTATTATTTGGCTATTTAATGCTATTATTTTGAGCAAGTTATTTAGCATTTTAGCTCTTTAAATCATGATTAATTTGGTACCAGTAATTATGATTATCTAAGGTGTTATTTTTTCAATGAAAATTGAGATTTAACACTAGTTTAAGAAGTGCTAAACCTAGGGAGTACACTCACGAGAGTAGAGGTGCACCTATGTGGTTTTAGTGATTCATTTCATGTAATTTCATAGAAGAAATGAATTTGTAACTAATTTCATAACCACGAGAGTATGTATGGATTAGTTATAAGTATAGTTGATTCACTACGAAAGTAGGTTTCACATACATAACGAAATTATGCCATAACTAGCCAAGATAGTTATACTCAATGATCCAAAAATAGCACTTGCATGAATAGTTAGGAATACCATAACCTAAGGAGCTTTTATTTGTTATTATCTTGCATAAGTTTAGCATAGTTTTATCTCTTTTAATTCATTGATCATCTAAATAATTGAGAAGATTTAGTAGTACCGGTAATAGTCCAATCTTTCTCGTGGGATCGCTCGATATAAGCCCTAAACTACTAGTTAACCTATATACTTGCAGTCAAAACGGGTATAAATTGGATTTAAACTTGTACTTATAAAAAAACCGTCAAATTTTTGGCGCCGCTGCCGGGAAAAATTTGTCAATATCGGTGTTTAGAACAACTTTATTAATTTAGACTTTTTTGCTTTGTTTTTCTTGTGTCTATTGTGTCTAGTGTCTTAATTTTTATTTTAGTGTCGTTTTGAGTCTTTGTGTATGGTTTTTTATGTGTTTAGAGTCAAATATTCTTCTTGACTAAACGTATATTTGAGTTATTTTGAAAGCATATTTAGGGGCTCAAAGAGAGTAGAAAACATGAGAGGACAATGCTTGAGAAGTGGAAGATCAGCAATGGATGGTTACTACATGCAAAGTTCCTTGAATAGAGGTAACCAAGAAATTACCAAAGGTATGTCATTTGAAAATGGTTTAAAGTACTTAAAAGCAAAACTTGATTTTATAATGTTACAAGTTCAAATGGACACCATTATGCATGAAATTGAGCAAAGGAGGAATGCCAATGCTTTTAATTCTTATCATGTGATTTGTGACTTGTGTAGAGGTTATCATGCTACTAATACATGTAGACAAGCACAAAATATGGATAATTATGATGAATTAGGGCATTACAACCCTTATTTTGATCAAGGCAACCCTAATTGGGGCAATTCTTATGCTTAAGGTTGGGATAATCAATGTACTAATAGTGATTCTTCATATTTTTATAATTACCAACTCAAATGTGTCCAATATGAATCAAAATCATCTTGGGAATTGGCAATAGAAAGGTTAGTTAATGTACGTTCACCTTCGGAACTAGAAAGGGAACCATTAGCTAACGATTCTAAGCCATCTTGGGAATTAGCTGTAGAAAATCTAGCAAATGTAACCTTCGACCGTTTTGATAGGGTTGAGGAAAGATTAGATGAATTAGCTTCTCACTTTGATAGAATACAAGACCAATTACATGCATTGTGTGAAGTTATTTCTTCTAATGATATGCAAGTTGACCCTAGCATGAATGGTGAGCATGTTACAAGTGAAAATGGATTATATTTTGATGAAAATGATGAATCTAATTTGCATTCAAATGAGAAAATATACATTTTACATGATAATATCTTTGGAGCTAACTTTGAATCTCAAGAGGTGAGCCTTAATGACTCATTTTTCACCCATCTTGAGGAATGTATTGATAGTTTAGATTTTAAAGGCATTATTCCCCAAGAAAGCCAAGCAAATGTTCCTTTGGTGAATTCTCAAGCGGTGCATATTCAAAGTAATATCTATGAAACACTTGAATTAGGTAAGCCATTTCTATCTCTCATATCATTTGAACATGTGACTTTGGCTGTTAAGCTACCTTTTAATGATCCACCACTACTAAAATTGGTGGATTATTCATTGACCAAACCTCCTTGAAAAATGAGGCAAAATAGTCGAGTCAACGACTATAACCATAAGCACTTGTTGGGAGGCAACCCAATGTTTTGGTTATTTAGGTTAATTTGGTGTGAATTTATGTTTACATTAAGTGTTTCAGTTGTTTTGCTTTTTATTTGTACATTTGGGAAATGGAAGCAAAAGTGACCAAATGAAGTGAAAAAGACGAAATTTAATCAAGGAACTCAACCCCTCGATTTGAATAATTGTTGTTTTTATTCATTAGAAGGGGTTAAAATGCATGTTTTGATCTTTTTACATGTGTGTGCATTGCATATTTTGGCAAACGAATGATCTAAGAAGCATTTTAAGTAATTGGGGTAAAAGCACAATTTTTAAAGTTTCTGCAGAAAAATTGCAGCCTGAAGAAAACGCAAGCTTATTCATTCTTCTTCTTTTCCTCATGTATCTCCTTGTACCTTGAGTTGCTTATTGTGTATTTTATATAGGTACATCACCAAGACAAAGGCATAGGAGTTACAGATCGCCATTATATGTTTATTAATACTTTTGTTATCACCTTTGTTTCTCATTTCTCATTTATAGGTTTATATTACTAATGGTTACAAATGGAATTCATGAAGCGTTGGAGATAAGTGGACAACGGATCTTGAAACTTCAATTTATATCCTATCAACACTATTCATTTATAACACAATTGGAGCAAAACGTGCAATGCAATCAGAGGGTCCAAAAAATGGGGATGTTAGACATGATTAAAGTTTTAATGTTCGTATCCAAAAATAAAGGTAGATTAAAATTATACGCACCGTTTTGGCTAGAACTGTCAATTGGACTCTTTAAGTTGGGTTTGGATAAGCCCAAACTTGACTCACAAACTATACAGATTTTTTACGCTTTAGAATTTTTGAGTTCGGTTCTAGATCAGAGGGTTCATACTCAGATCACACTTTTATATAACCTTCGGGTTTAAATTAGGCTCAGCTCAAACATATAATTAAATGCATAATTATATAATATATATTTAATAATTATGAATTACTATAAATTGAATTATAAATTATAAATATTTTATGTTATAACATGAATAGTTATAAATTATAAATATTATTATATATATTGAAAAATGTTATTTTCACTGTATTTTTTGTTACTCCTATCATTTATTTTATCGTACAGCCTAATAAATGAAAACTATATGATTAAAATAATAGTGGAATGTGATTAGAAAAAAATGAGAGTGCATATTGTTGTGAAACTAAAAAAATAAACCACTAAAAGTAGAAAATGATGATTGTAGAGTAAAGACAAGGAAATAGTGAGAATGTTTCTATTATCCACTTATCAGGTATTCCAAAGGTTCAAAGGTTCAAAACTTACAATAGAGATTTATAAGCTCTCTATTTATAGGTAATACAAGGCCAAAGATACATGTACTCATTAATATAGATACATGAATTCAGTACTTCAAGTACACGAATTGTAGTTCCATAAATGAACTAACTAATTGTGAGAAGATACATGAATGTATCAACGAATTTTGTAGGGAGATGAATGTTCCGATGTATCTTAAGTAGATGAATGGATATTCATGCTCATCACTCTATTAATTTCATAACACCTGTATATTTTATGCATATATTTATACTTATAAGGGGAAAAGACTTTAATTAGATCTAAGCCTAGCAAAGCCCAGATTCGATTTACATTTAATTTAGGCTTAATATTCAAGCCCAAGTTTTGGCTGACAAATTAAACATTAGGTCATCAAGCTTTTTTCTGCCTTATTTTAGGTTAATCCGACCCATTAACAGTCCTAATTTTGACTCATCTAAATTAATGCCCTCACATGTCATCATAATTTTAATATTTTATTACACAAAAAGTACTAAAAACTTACGAAACAACTAATAAAATTGATGTGAGATGTGGATTGTCCATTCCATTTCTCTAGAAGATTGATACATGTATTTACCTCAGAAGATTTATTTCTTATACTTATCTTTTCATGAAACAACTCAATTCATAATTTTAAAGTTTTAAATCCATATATGAGTATTAAACATAGTTCATATACCATTAATTTTGTTTTACCTATAAATAGAGGTCTTCCAACCTCTCTTGTAATCATTTGAGCAATTGAATAAATGAAATAGTTCTCTTTACTTTTGTCTACTTTTCTCCACTTTTCTTTCTTCTACATTTTGTTGTTTCACATATACTAGTATTAGTTTCACAATAAAAACATAACAACTTTTCGAATGCCACTACTTGGTTATCACCCGAAAAAAAGAAAAGAAAATAAAGTTTAGTCGTTTGATTTCAGTCCTTATTGGAGTCTTTCACTACCCCTGCTTGTTCTTTTGCATTTGTAAGCTCTTGCGTTCAAAGCCTGCTGCAGACTGTATTGTAGTGTGTAGACTTGCCTCTGCTCCTCAAGCCCATTTTGCTCCCTTTGATTTGAGGTGAGGTTTTAAAGCTAAGCAGGTTTTCCTTGATAGTACCTCTTTTTAATGCTGTGAAAGAAGTTACAGGATCCAGATCCACGGAGTGATTCTTTTCTTCTTCTTATTCATGTTTCTTCATTCAATTTATGCGGTTCCTCCAGATTGTTCTCCTTTTTTCTTTTTGTGTATTTCTTAGGTGATAAGTGCTTTATTTTTCTTCCATAGTAAGAACAATACACGCATACAATTCAAAGAATCTGTCATTGAAAATACTCAAGAGTTCATTATCGTTAGACAAAGTCTTTGCTTAATATTAAAATGGTGAAACCCTTATCCATTTGTTACTCTTTGTTGTGAAAATTAGTCGATTAGATCTCAGTATAGTTTCTGTTATGTATGAAGAAACTTTGGTGAGGACTGTTTTCTAGAATTAATGTTAAAAGGGTTACTACTACTTGCAGTGTTAAGGAACAGAGCAGTTTGTTTACTGGAAATGGAAAGCTCAGATGGATCGAGATTTGCAGCGAGAACCAGGTTAGCTGATGAAAATGCAAGCCAAAAACGGACAAAATGCTCTGAAGGAGTTGTAAACTTAGTTGATAGGATTAGTAGTCTGCCGGACTCAGTTCTTTGTTGGATTCTGTCTTTTCTTCCAACGACTGAAGCTGTGGCGACTAGCATCTTATCAGCAAGATGGAAAATTCTTTGGACTGGAGTCACTAGTCTTCATTTTGAGGATACTGAAAGGCTTTTTAATGAGCCTTACAAAGAATCGAAGAATGATGAAAGATTTGTGAAATTTGTTAACAAGGTCTTGCTTCTCAATAATGTGCAATCCTTAGGCAAGTTTTACCTCTGCTGGTCCCGTGACTATGATGCCTTTTATATAAATACATGGATTGCCACTGCAATTGCTCGAAATGTTAGAATCCTTGACATTATAGCTGAGTCCGACACAGTTGAATTGCCTAATAGCATTTTTACGTGTAAAACTCTAGAGTTCCTTCAACTGTCTGGTGACCTGTTGATTAAGTCTCCAAGATTTGTGTGTCTTCCTAGACTTGTCACCTTCAATCTTATTAGAGTTGATGATAGATCCCACGAATCTATAGGCCAGATTTTATCCGGATGTGCAGTTCTGGAGTTCATGTATATCGAACAAAATATCAATCTAGCTGGACCTGGACCTCAAAACCCTCAAAGAATGGCTATTAAAATTTCTTCCCCTACTTTGAAAACACTCAGACTGGATTTTTATGCGGATTGCTGTCTGGATGAAGATTGGTTCCGTAAGCTAGAGATAAATGCCCCTGCACTTGAGTATCTGTACTTGAAAGATAGAACAACTGAGTCTTTCAGCATTGAGGGCCTAAAAGCTTTGTGTGAAGCAGAAATTGACGTTTATATGTGTGATCCTCCTGAAAGTGATTACTGTAATTCAGTTGTCAAACTGTTCCTGGCGTTGCAACATGTCAAGCTTCTGACTTTATCAAGAGACACAATGCGGGTAAATTATGGAATCTCTCAGAACATTTGTAACTAGGGTGATTTTATGACTATTTGGTGTGAGATCTATTTGTGACTAACATTTGAAATTTGAAATTTTAGATTTGTCTATTCTGTTTCAATATTTGACTGGAGGTAGGAGCTAAATAGTTCTAAGCCGAGAAGATTCGTTATAAGCCTAATGATGTTTCTGTAGGTTCTTGGCAGAGCCACTGCTCACTTCTCGACAAAGTTTGACAGATTGACCACGTTGGTGGTGGAAGCCCACTGGTGTAAACGGAGTTGTTTGCCGGCTTTGCTTGAAAGTTCAGTCAATTTACAAGTTCTTGAGGTTTTAACGGTTAGTTTAAGGCTTTCAAATAGATAGAAGGCAACAATAGCAATAGGACAGTTCTGTTATCCTTCATTTTCATTTGAAATGCCAATCTCTGAATATCTGCTTATGTTGCAATTAGACTTGTTGTCGTTATGACTATCTGGACCTTGTTAGGCTGGCTGGATGAATCCTGATGGAGTTCCTAGATGCTTGCTGACGAGTCTTAAAGAAATTGTTGTTCAAGAACTTGAAGACAGGAAAGGCGAGCTTGCAATGATCAGCTATTTTCTTAAGCATGGTAGAGCGTTGGAAGTAGTAGATCTATATTCTGAAGTACATCTTGATATCCAGAAAAAATTTCAGCTACTTCAGAAGATATCCGTGTTCCCAAGGAAGTCAGATACATGCGAGGTTGTGTTTCACTGAGATGGCTTCAAAGAACTTGTCCATTTTGACTCTTTGGAAAAGTGATTGGCTTGCAGATAACCGTGACAGCTTGGTCATATTATAGAAGATTTATGTGTTTGGGTTTTATAGCCTTACCAATGCTCTTAGGGCAATGTTAACGCTCAAAACATATTTATTCTTTTTACGGTGCAAGCACTTTAATTTATCGCCCCTGCATTAAGAAATTTTTCCGATTACTTCCTTAGGCAGACCAATTTTGTTAATATCTCCTCACAAGGGTGTTACTAAATATGTTGTTTTTTTTTTTTTTTTGCAGTTTAACTTAAAGAAAGCAAAAACGATCGCAAAGGCCAAAATTTCATTAAAATCTATATTAATGGCAGAAATTGCATCAATATCTAAAGGATAGATACTTTAAATTTGAAGAATTGATAAAAATTACATTGTAGATCTTTAAAAAACTTACAAAAATATGGTAAAACATTTACGTCCCCAAGAACATTTATGCATATTGCTGATTAACTATTTCAAATGTAGATATTATGATGAGATCTATCAAATAGATCTAAGGAATCTTATACCTAATAAAAGAAATAGAAATGGACCTAAGTCTAGGTGGACTCAAAATAACTAATGGGGTTTAGACAAAATTCTAAACTATAATTATCAAATTTTAGTTAATAAATTTGTTGCAAAGGCAGCAAATGTAGAAAAGTAAGCTAATCATTTTTCTAGTGAAAGAAATTTCTTAAAAATCAATAGAACTAATAAATATAGATGCGAAGTGGAAGTAAGCGACAAAAGATCAAATCAAAATGTTTTAAAAAAAAACCCTCTTTCACTTTTCTTTATTTTTCAATTTATCTCGCTTTTGGCACTCTCAAATTGAATTACTTCCCTTTAACTATTGTCTTGAGATGCCAAATGAACAGTCCACAAAATTGGGACATCACTGTTACCTGATCTACTCACCTACAGGGTCAGTAGCTTTAAATTTTTTTTTTTCGAGGGGCAGTGTATAACATTGAAAAATGAAGTTTAGACTTTGAAAACTGAAATTTAAGTGCTGAAATTTGATGAATTCATAAAGGTGCCTTGGTTTCATCATCGGCTAAGTTGGAACACAGAATTGATATTCTTATTCTGTCTATGTTATGTAATTTGATGCCAATATTATGTTCTAGATTATATCAAATCAGCTTTTTTTAGGTTATCTTACTGCAGGGAAGATGCACACTGGTATTTTATTTTAAATCTATCAATCCTAGTCAAATCCTGTTGATGCATTATGTGACTTCTCAAGGATAAATACTAATTAGTTATTCTGGAGTTAATGGGTCTTACAATATGTTTTGTGACTACAATAATAATGTATAGTTTCTGATTCGAAATTACAAATGGCAACATGCGGTCGGGGATTAATAAGGGAATTAGTTAATTTTGCATAGCATTTGTAAGGCACGAATCTAGATATAACAGGGGTGGATTAACGTCCAATGCACAATCTAGAGAAGTTATTATGGGAATCAAAAGGTTCGTGGTGTATTAGAAACTAGAAATGTTGCTAGATAGACAGGGCAAAGTGTATACCTTTTTAAAGTTTAAAGTGAGTAAAAAGTGACAATTTCAATCTTGACAAAATTAAATGGAGATGATTTCAAAGTTTGTAGGTAAAGGGTAAAGTTATAAAATACATAATGCAAGAAATTTTAGCCGTATTAGGGTGGCAGAAGAGCTGAGTGACTCTAAGCTCTCACAAGTTGGCTAAATCAATTGTCAACTCGACCTCAATTTTGAGGTTCGAATTGAGTTTTGAGTCCAATGATATTCGACTCAGAGGTCCATCGAGCTTGACAAAACATATTTATCTATTTTTTCATTTTCTTTGTATATTAGAGTGTATTTCTATTTTACCCATTCTAAAAGTATTATTTTATTATTATTTCTTTTAGTTCCATCAAGCTTGAACTCGAGTATCACTAGACTTAGACCTAATTTTGAGCTCAAACTCGAGTTTTACTCTAAGAGTTGGATCGGGTCGGAACTGTGTAAAAGTAATTTGAGCTTGGTTCAATTGAGCGAAACTTGCCTCAAGTTGAGTTCACAAGTTTTCTTGTGGTTTATTATCATTCTACCCCTTTAACATTTTATGCTACTATTATTATTATTATTATTATTAGTTTACCCTCCCTTTCCTTCCCATACCTTCCCCAATCCCTAATTATCAGGCTCAGTATTCGAATCCTAAACCTAACAATGGAGAGAACTTTAAGAGGCCTTCCCTAATTATTGGATCAATTCTAGTAGTTAATACAAGTTGGGAGAGGACATTACAAAATAATGTTTGATGGTCAATTGCTATTACTTGTTTCCCTTTAACATTGTTGTTTAGTGCCTTTACTCTTGAGACTAATGGTCAAAATAAAAAGGATTAATTACATTTATCTCCCCTGAGATTTGATCATATTACCAATCAATCCCTGTAATTTGTCCAAATAACGGTCTCACCCTTTGAATGATCAAACATTTAACCAAAACCCCCTTAATGCCGAAAATGCCCCTTTTTAGGCCATATTGCATTAAAAAAAGAACATATTTTTATTTATTAACCTTCAAGTAATCCAAAAAAAATAGAAAAAAGTTTTTGCTTATTATTTTATAAAAATCATATCTTTGCTTCCATAAATAGTTTTGAATCAATAATTATTTTAAATCTTAAAAATGAATATTAAAAATTAGATAAATTGAAAGAAAAATAAAAAAGAAACAATTATTTTAAATCCTCAAGTATGGTTCGAATTTGTGGTTCAAGGCATGTTGCGGAGAGCACAAGGCATGTTTTCCTCAATTTGAACCATACTTCAAGAATTAAAATAATTTCTTCTTTTTTTTTATTTTTCTTTCAATTTATCTAATTTTTAATATTCATTTTTAAGATTTAAAATAATTATTGATTCAAAACTATTTATGGAAGCAAAGATATGGTTTTTATAAAATAATAAGCAAAAACTTTTTCTATTTTTTTGGATTGCTTCAAGGTTAATAAAATAAAAATATGTTCTTTTTTTAATGCAACATGGCCTCAATAAAGGCATTTTCGGCATTAAGGGGGTTTTTGTTAAATGTTTGATCATTCAAAGGGTGAAACCGTTATTTGGACAAATTACAGGGATTGATTGGTAATATGATCAAACCTCAGGGGAGGTAAATGTAATTAACCCAAATAAAAAAGTTTGCTAACTCAAGTTAAATGACATGTTTGGCCTTTAGAATTGTTATCACTTTGCCCACATAAAGTATAACCTCATTATCAATTTATTCCTCAATGTTATTTTCTAGTCATGTTACTCTATTGTTAAACCAACTCAGCATATTGAAAATATTTTAAACGACAATACCTTCCTCTCTTGTATAATTAAAAAATAAGAAATTTAGAATAGCTCTTCTATTTTATGCTGCCCTTTTTAATACCAAGAAAAAAGTCAAAAGTGTTCATTTTCCTTTTTTTTGTGCACTCTTATTAACTAAAAAGAAAATTAAGAGGAAGAGAGCTTAACTCTTAAAAAAAGAAAAAAATCAAATATTCTGATTATTTTAAAATCACTCCTTACTCTTCCACCTACCACTCACATCCAACTCCAATGACATTAAAGTAATGATAATATTGGATTCTTCCTTATTTTTCTTCTTTCTTGAGTCTTTTGCCTCCCTTTCTCCCATCTCTTGTTCTTTTTCTTGGTATTAATAGAAGTGAAAGAAAAGGAGGCGAAAACTCCTTTTGCTTTTATTTTCTTGATACTCTTGGGAAAAAAAGAAAAAAAATAATCATTCCAACTTTTTTCTTCAATTGTATATGAGAGAAGGATATTTCCGTTCAAAAATTTTTTAGAACTGAATTGATAATGATGGGTAAATTTTATAAACAAAATTAGATGGCAAATTAATAGTAGTATTATATTTCAAGGGAGTAAAGTACTAATAAATCCTACATAAGAAGGGTATAAGAGGGAAAGTGTTCCGGTTCTAAATTTTTCAACGCGTGAAGTTTACTCAATATTGGGGTAAAATGACTAAAATGTTTACTCAATGTTGGGGGAAAAAATTGATAGTAGTTTTATAATTTAAGGAGGTAAAGTGATAATCATTTTTTTTGGACTAAATTGGAAACTTTGTCTAGTACAGTTAGGATTACAAACGAACCGAGCCGCTCACAAGCGGCTCAAGTCAAGCTCAACACTTGATCAATATCGAGCTGGCTCGAGTCGAACTCGAGTTTGAACTCGAGATCAGAATATTTAGTTTTAAATTGTTAGTTCGTCGAGATCGAACTCGAGTTCGAGTTCAATAAAAATAAGTTAAGACTCGATTCGATTAGGTCAAAACTCGATTCGATTCGATTCGTTTGCAACTCTAGTTACAGTATCACAGGCACTTTCTAGATCTCACCCTTCTTTCAAAGTCGACTTGAAACTTGAAAGTTCATCTATGGCACGGGTGAAAGACTAAAAATTGATAATGGGGTAAAATACTAAAAAATAAATGTTAGAGGAAAAAATTGATAGTAGTGTTATAGTTTAAGGAGGCAGAGTGATAATCACTTCTTTTTTTTTTTTTTTGGCTCAATTGGAAACTCTGTCTGGTATAGTATCACAGGCACTTTCTGGATCTAGCCCTTCTTTCAAAGTCGACTTGAAACTTGAAAGTTCATCTATGGCTCGGGTGAAAGACATTCGGAAGATGGATGAGTGGTATTTCTCTCCATTGTTCACCCACCCCCAAAAGAAAAATTAGTGGTTTTCTTTCATTTCTACCTTTCCATTTTGTGTTTTTTTGTTCTTGGATTCTTTATTTATTTATTTTTGGGATTTGTAGGTGATTCTATGGTTCTGGTTGCTTCTGCCTTGCAAATTAGCTAGAGAATTTGTCATGCAAAAAGTATTCAGTTGGCAATAATAATTGTTAATATATTTTCTTAGCATTAAACTAGCGAAGCCCTTATCTATTTGTTGCGCGTTTGTTGAAATTAATGTTCTCATTAACGTTTGATCAGATGCCCCAATTAGTCAACTTCTATTGTTAAAAAACCTATTAATTAGTTAAACTTTATGCTATTTATTAATTGATGCAGGGTTCTTGTCTTCAGTTTCATAAAATGATGAGGCAAAACTTTTAATAGAAATTCGCATCTTATTTTATCAAGAAAACTTGGTTAAGTATCATTTGGTTGCCATTTTGCTACTGCTATTACAGAATTTAGATTTTGTGGTGGAGATGCTTAGTTGGAATGGCAAGCTCTAATAGATATTGGACTCGTTCTGCTATTAAAGGATCAAGCTACAAGCGCAAGAGAGGCTTGAGCGAAGTGGTGAATTCAGATGTTAGGCTTAGTAATTTGCCAGACTGGATACCTTGTCACATTCTGTCTTTTCTTCCAACAAAAGAAGTTATGGCTACGAGCCTTTTATCAAGACGATGGGAATTTCTCTGGACTGAAATCTGTAGTTTTCATTTTGAAGATTTCAATGAATGTTAGAGCCGAAGTGACATTTTTTTTGAAAAAAAAAAGAGCTTTGTGAAATTTGTAGACAGGGTTTTGCTTCTCAGAAATGTCAAAACAGCAATAAGTTCTGTCTGAAGTGGAAATATTTCTGCGAAAGCATCAAAGCGAGCAGATGGGCCAACATTGCAGTTGCTAGTAATGTCCAAGTGCTTAATGTCCTTCTTCATTGTGCTTGTGATAGCTGTTCTGATTTAGGCTATAAATTGTGCCTAGGAGCCTCTTTACCTGTGATACACTAGAATTTCTATAATTGTCTGGTGATATTATCATTGATGTTCCAAACATCGTTTATCTTCCTAGGTTTGTGAATCTGAATCTTGTTAGAGTTGCATTCAAATCGAATGACTCTGTCCAGAACCTTATAACTGGTTGTGCAGTTCTAAAGTTCTTGTCTATTGCAAGAAATACCTGGCATGATGCGGCTATAATCACAATATCATCTCCTGTTTTGAAAAGACTAGAACTGAAACCTTATGAAGAAAGTTTAGGTTTTTTTTCTCCTTATGATTTTGGCTATAAAGACTCTAAGCTCGAGATCATTGCCTCTGTACTTGAGCACCTGTATCTGCAAGATTGCAAGATTGTGCCGGTCAAGACTTTGTTTTAGGAAGCCTTACCTCCTTAGAAGAAGTATATGTTGATGTTTCCTGCCACAGCCCCCCTGAAATCAGTTATTGGAATTCAGTTGTTAAGCTACTTGAAACACTTCATCATGTGAAGTTTCTGAGGTTTTCATATGATACCAGTAAGGTAAATCTGTTTGTTTTAGTTCCCATTAAATTGTAAATCTTATGATTCGGTATGGTACACAAAGAACTTAAGCTAAGGAAATTGAACAAGTATTTGGTCTTCGATGCTTCAATTAATAGGAAATCTGAGCTCAATTGTTCTAATGGGGACAAGCTGAATGATTTTTCTGTAGGCTCTTAATGGAGCAACTAACCATTTGTCGACAACGTTCAAGAGATTAACCACACTGGTTGTAGAAGTTTATTGCTCCAAGTGGAAATTCCTGCCAATGTTGCTTGAAAACTGTCAATTTACAAGTTCTCCAACTTTGCAAGGTCTAAGGCTGTTGTATATGAAGAAACAATGAAAATTACCACTTGTAGAAGGAGTTGTTCTGTTGCACTTTCAACTTTTGGAGAATGTATTGAACAGCTATTTTTGTTGTAACCAGCCATGGTATATATGTTGTCAAGAAACACATAATGGATGCTGGAGGATTCCTAGTTGCTTGTTATTAAGTCTCAGAGAAATGTTTGTCAGAGGATTTACTGGCCTGGAAGATGAACTTGCAATGATAAGGTATGTTCTGAAGTATGGGAGAGTCCTCAAAAAATGGAGCTAGATTCTGGTCTGCATGCTGATGACTTCAAGAAAAATTTCCAGTTGCTTCAGAAGATATTAATGTTCCCCAGAAAGTCATTTACATGTGTGATTGCATTTTCTTGAGGTGCATAGATGAGCTGATTATCACCTTTTTACTAAGAGGTGATGTAACTAAAGTAGAATTGAGTTTTTAATTTCTACGTGTTAAGTTTTTTGAAGTTGTGTGTACAAATACGTTTTATGGTGCTGCTTACAGTTTTTAAGGGATAGGAACCATATGACCCAAGTAGCTTGCTCTGATTATTTTGCGTATGTGGAATTAATTGGTCCTTTTGTTTGAGCTTGCATTACAACCTCTTAGTTTGGGCTCTTTAACTAATGGTCCCTGTTTACCGAGTTGCTTATGACAAAATACTACAAACTTTGGACTTGGCATAGCAGTCTTGCTTCAATTAAGAAGCTAGTTTCATACATAACGATTTTACTTTGTATTTGGCAGAACTCTGAGAAATCATGTTTGTCACTTTTTCAACATTTGACAAAATGTTTTCATGATGATGTCAGTAATTTAACTACTGCTAGATTCAGATTGCTAGGCATGCATGAAAAGTAACTTCAAATGCAGCTCAGTCATTCTCAATTTTACATGTCAGTAATATTAATGCTGTAAATGGATTTCCTCACTCCCTCGAACTCTCTTTTGCTGAGATTGATTTTAAACTGTGGTTGGGCATATGAACTTTAACAAGATTTATGCCATTTTAGCACATTGGATGCGAATGACTTATTTGCACCTGTATCTCTAGTTGCCGCATTGACTTGCTGTATATGTAGTTTGAAATTGGGTACTTTAAGGTTTATGACAAGTTTTCCTTGTCCAGCTACTCCTAGACATTAATATTTAGTCAACATAGTGGAAAAGCCCTTTGATGTACCATGAAAGATGAGTTTTCTGAACACCTGAGCTAAGCTCGTGGCCCAGGACATTAGCAGAGGTTCATTCTTCACCTGACCATTAGAAGGGTTCCTAAAGCTTGTTTGGTTCAGTTTCGGAATGCGCTTAATTGCTACGACGTACGAAGTTGGCTTTCCCAGAATTAGGAGACAAATTTTGGGTATGTCTTCAATCTATTCCAAGTCTTTGTCTAAAATCAGTCATATGACTGTATATAAGAAGTTAGAACTTTTAATTTTCTCTGCACTCCTCCTCAAATAACGGTTGCTTCAATATGTAACTGTCTTTGCATCCTTACATTTCCTTAATCTGAGGCTTCTAGGAGTAAGTGCTTGGGTGAAGGAGGAGAGTTGCTATGTGTGCAGATAAGAAGTATGTGTTGGATAAGGCTCCATAAAATTTGTGGTTGCTGGGGCTCACATAACGGTCTGTATGCAAGAAACGTTGAGCTTATCATAATTTGGTTCCATTCAAAATCCCCCCTGAAATGAGAACTACATCTAAGTTATATTCAAAGGAGAAAAAAAAACTTTATGGTATAACGATGTTGGCAAAATTTTTTATAAAAAAGAAGGTATTGAATGGTCTTTTGGGAACTACACGACATGGTGTACGATAGTACTGGGCACATCATATTTTGTCTTGTTATGTGCTAGGTACTGCTACCATTTTCTAAACGGTGATTGGTTGGTACTAGTAGTCATGATACTCTGTCTAGTGTAATGCACAGTGGCTAGGCTGTTCTAAATAATCTGATAATCAAAAAATGGGCAACCAACTGTCGATGGGGCTGTTGGTTAAGGGCTTCATGCTCTGCCTGGCAGACCAAGGCATGAACCTGGCTGTCAGATTTGGGGTAGAGAGCAAACCTTCTTTGTTTTTTTTGTTGGGGGGAGGGGGGAGGTGGGGGAAGGTTTAAAAAAATCTAAAATCGGCATTGCTCAATAGGTATTTGCGGATATTCAGTTGCTTCTTGATTATATGTGAATCGGATCATATGCAGATCAGCTATGCGCGTTTGATTTGAAGCACGTTTTAGTTTTGACCGGCAGATATGAATTTGATCCACATAGTATTTTTGTATCATTGAGAAAATTTTTCTATTAAGAATAACTTTAAATCTCATCTACTCTATGCGGCTAATTTCTTAGATTATTCGCATTTAAAAAAAACAACCGCCAAATACACCTCTGACATGGAGTGCTTCTTGTTCTATAGCGGCCGTGCTGACTCAGCACGTCCGCATAATTAAAAATTCCACAAAAAACTTGTCTGCAAAAAATTCAGTTTGTAGAGGGTGTCAACGCGGACGTGCTGACTGGGCACGTCCGCTGCTGACCACAATACTTTCGGTCTGAGCATGTGTCAGACGCGGACGTGCTGATTGTGCACGTCCGCGTCTGACTTTGTCTGCGCATTATCAGATGGGGACGTGCTGACTGGGCACGTCCCCGGGAGACACAGATTCAGTGGAGTCTGTTGTGTGCACACGGGGAGTTACACCTGCCTTAATGGTTAGCTTAATACAACAATAATCCAGTGGTACTCCTGAAAAGGAAAAATTACCTTTGACAGGGAAAACAAAAAAAAAAGTGGCACTCCTGAAAAGGAAATATATTGCGATGCTAGTACAACGCACTATGTTTATAGCCAAGAATTCACGAGTTATATTTTGTGAATTTTACTAGATGGCGTCCCTATTTTCTCTAATATAATATAAGCTTAATACGTTTCTGGCTTGATTCAGGTTTATTTGGGATTGTGATGACTTATAGAGAAACACTTTTGACATTTATTTTTTTTATACGAGTGCTTTTAAGTTATTAAAAAGCTGGACTTCGTAAGCTATAGGAAATTAATTACCAAACACTCTAAAAGTATATTTAGTGCTTTTTTTTTTTTTGTAAACACACTCTAAAAGTATATTCAGTGCAATCCCAAATGGAAACTTAGAGTCATATAATTTTTTATCTCTTGTTTTTTAATTTTTACATTAATTCCACTAATTTATAATAATAATAATAATTTTGATCTCTTGTTTCTCATATCTATGTTCGTTTTCAAAATAGGTTTTTCTTTACATACTGTGTTAAGTTTTTATACATATTGTTATATAATTTGTAGATAAAAAAATTATAGATCAAATATTGAATCTTATTTGTTTGAATCAAAATTTAAGAAAAAAATACAGAATTTACTATATATTGCCACAAAAAAAAAAGGTTAATGACTAAAATCTCATATGTAAGTGGGACAAATCACTTACACGGTACTTTTAAAACTCTAATACGTTTAAATTTTGATTTATCTTTGGAATTTATTATTTTTTAAAAAAAAATTTAAAAATCAGATGCGGATAGAATATCCAATTGATCCGATCTGCATAATGCAGATATCCGGATTAACGGATCGGGATTCGAATTACAACATGACTGATCCAATTTTTGCGGGTTAGATAAGCATTTTGGTTCACGGGTCGGAATATCCGACTCGAGCACATGTTGGACAGATGCAGTTGCATTTAATTTTAATCGAACTAGCAACTGGGAATTTAATATATAGTTAGTGGGTATGCTATATGAGGATGCAGCACGCCCTGAGGACTGGAGATCTCTAGTCTCTGTCTTCCTTCCTAAGCTTCGTACTCCAGCACATTTCACCCTTTAGCCATAAGGCACAAGACTTAGAGAGGGGAATCTATACATCAACCGTACTGGGAAATGAAATAAATGATAGTATTTGTCTTCATCTTCACTGACCAAGTCTATTTCTCCAAGGTGGTTTGATGAAAGGTCAAGCCGGGGACGTGAAATCTGTGTCTCCCGGGGACGTGCTAACTGGGCACGTCCCCGTCTGACACATGTGCAGAAAGAGTCAGACGCGGACGTGCACAATCAGCACGTCCGCGTCTGACACATGCTCAGACCGAAAGTATTGTGGTCAGCAGCGGACGTGCCCAGTCAGCACGTTCGCGCTGACACCCTCTGCAAACTGAATTTTTTGCGGACAAGTTTTTTGTGGAATTTTTAATTAATCGGACGTGCTGAGTCAGTACGGCCGCTATAGAACAAGAAGCACCCCATGTCAGAGGTGTATTTGGCGGTTGTTTTTTTTAAATGCGAATAATCTAAGAAATTAGCCACTCTATGCTATGCGGCAAGGAAAAGAATCTTAGAATTCTCACTAGTGCCAGGCTCAGGATTGGGGTGGGAAGAGTTCGAGGAAAGGTGGGAGGTCACCAAAAAAAAAAAAAAACCTATCCTATTCTAATATGATCTCTTTTTATCAAATTTATGTTTATATTCTTTTTCAACAATAGTTTTTTTTGTATCTTGTGTCAAATTTTTAAAACTATTGTCATACAAAAATTTTGGATGTAATATTAAATATTATTTATTCTTAATTGGAATTCAATTCTTTTATGAAAAAACAAATAAAACCAATGATATAGATAACATAAAGGATCTTCTATCCTACTATTTGTACTATTTTTTGTCTCAGGATTTACTAAATTGTCATATATCCCTCGTGAACATCTCATTTTAGCTCTTTCTCTTGTCTCTTTAAGTTCTAACAACTACTTATCGGTTAGAATATAAAATACAATAGACTAAATAATAATATATAATAGAAAAACAAAAAACTCATTAAAAAAATCCATTTTTTAGTTAAATTTTGTATGTTTAGTATGCTCTCTTTAGCATTCTACCCTATTAGTAGTGTTCGAACTTAAAGGATAAGAAAAGAATCGAAATGAAATATTTTTGAAGGGTATATAGCTACTTAATAAATTTTGAGATAGGGCATGGCCTAAGAAGTGGGACGTAAGACCATTTGCGGATAGATTGCTTTATCTTACAACCAAAAACTACTAATCGATTGGACTAACAGCTCGTATGTCCATAGTGTTATGAAACAATTAAAAGTATGGATGTCCCTTTGTATTCCCAAGAGGATTAATTCATGATTTATGGCTACATTATGTATAGAAGTTATAATCCATAAATCTATTCATGTAGTGGAGAAACCGTTTCATAGATTTCTTCATATTCTTGTAGTAGTGGGTGTTTAATAGGATTTATGTACCTTTGATCTTGTAGTACCTATATATAGAGGTACATTGACACCCTTTGGATGTACTTTTGTATTTTGTTGGAATACAAGAACATCATTCTCTATTGCTCTACTTTTCCTCTAATATCTCTATTCATACTATAGTAGTTTATTAGTTTTACAACACGTTATCAGCACGAATCTCTACTTTTGAGTAAAAGGTGAAAACGGAGTCTCTACCTTGAGTAAAAGTGAAACAAGAGATTCTGCCTGTATTTTTTTCGGCAATTTCTGTCTACTTATTGAGGTAAAATGTTTTACACATAAATTTATTTTAA